TTATCTGACAAATTAACTTCTTCCTAGTAGGGAAATTTATGCCTTTAACCTCTATGGCACAAACACTAAGAGGAAGAAAGGCAGATAAAACAAGAGTGCTAAATATGATTATGATGGGGAAGAAGAATGAACTTCCAATAATAAACTATTAAAAAGTGGGACATCACAAAATGCCAATCACTACTGTGCAGGATCTATGGCATGAAGAAACAGAAACCACATAAACTCGTAAAATAGTGCTAAATTCCATTAACAGTATCCAAAACACCTTGGTCAAGCAGATAAAAAACACATATGTTTAACAAACCAAGAAATTACAGATTGTAGTTTGTACCCCCAACCCCTGGAATTTTTTTTTTTTTTTTTTTTTTTTGGCTTCCAAGCAAATTAACACTAGGTGGTAATGTATTCAGACCCCTCAAACTTATATTTACTCCATTCCCAAAGTCACTCTGTGAAGACAAAAGATCTAAAGGCTGGTATACGATACAGCCATTGCCTTGAGATTGAAGAGAAGATACTGTGGAACATATAATTGAGGTATCTGCTGTCAGTTCCAGTAGAGTGGAAAATTATTATTGGGAGCAAAAACACAAGTCATCTCTTATAGTGAGTCTAGACTAGGTGACCAATAAACCAAGACACATCTCTGTCTCAATTTCAGTCTTTCAAGAAATCATTAGCAGATATTATCATTTAAATATCCAAAAACAGAGCTATGCAGCTTGTTCTCAAGATAGTGACACTTTAAACCTTGAGGATTTCTCAACAAAATCTAGATTGATGGTATCTCTCTTCATTTTGATAAGGGGACCAGATTGTCAGGCATGTTTAGAATTTTTACTCTTAAGAGAGTTCAGACTTGCATGCCTTGATTATGAAAATAATAAATATCCTTTATTTCCAGGGCACTGATGTGCATGTCTTTACTGCATTTAATGTGTGACACATTATCAAATTCAAAGGAATTAACTTTTTAGAAGACAGGTTTAAGAAGGTCATCCTTAGTGAAAGGCCCAGATTACAGTAAGACCTCTATGACTGAGTCTCACAGCTTGTTGACATAAGAGCTTGATAGGTCAAAGACTACTAGGATTGATGACAACAAAGAACTGTCTCACATGTAGCTTTATGAATGAATGGTGATGGTATGATGGCCATCAGTGTCGATGAAAAGTTACTGTGAAAATTTCTACAGTGATATTACAAGTAGGAAAGTCTCTTCCCAGCTGGTATCCATAGTGTACCTGTGACATCTAGCCATTCCAACTGGAAGCAAACAGGATTCAGCAAAATTTTATTTGAATTCCAGTTGGCACATAGCTTGGTGGCCAGTTCTGAAGTCTCATAGAGCTTGATAGGAGTATAAACTCTTGGTGAGGTGATAATCTTGACCCAGAGACTGTAACAAATTTGACATTTCATGAAGATCTACCAAGCTGAAGCCTGAACAAGGAAGCACAGATGACCTAAAAATGAAGGATTTACCTCTGGTCTTAGTAAACAGAGATCTAATAGTAAGTAGATTGTTTCCATATCCAAAATCTGCTAGTTCTCACCAACAAGATTTTCCTGAGGAACAAATCTATACATTTTCTTTTAATCACAAGAGGATTCAGATTCCTGAGTGCCCTCCTCTGGACATATTTTGGACCAGAAATAATGGATAAACCTTGTCCAACCCTCTTTACAGGAAAGTCTCCACTGCTAACTTGGCCAATAAAATCAGTCTTTATCATATACTCATTCCAAAAGTCAAAAATTCAAACATTAGCTGTCATCATTCCAGACTCGAATTCAGTTTTGCAATGACCTCCTACCTGTAGATCCCGTTTTGAGTTGGGGGTGGGGCAAGTAAGATAGTTAGAATCTTGGATGAGTATTCTGCTGAACATGAACAGGTTATTAATTCTTGTACCCATGGCGTTCTGGAGATTCTCCCTTTTTTCTGTATCTATAGGGGTGGTTTCGAGGTTTGTACCAATCTCCTTTGGAGTATCCTCTATTGTGATAATGTGCTTTCTGATCATGACTATAAAAGTATCGATGCTGGTTGTAGTATTTACTGTGATCCCTATAGTCATTTTCTTTAATACTGTTTTCTTCTGCAACAACAGCATTCACATCTTGTCCAAAAAGGGAAGTACCATCAAAGGGTAAGTGTGAGATCTTTTCCTGGGTTTTCTTAGTGAGAGATGTAAGTCGGAGCCAGGCTTGCCTCCTGTAATCAATTGCCATGGCCATAACTCTAACTACAGAATCCATTATGTCCCTAGTAGTACAAAGTTGCCAAAGACCTGCGTCCATACCATCAGATATTATACACCTTGCTTTTCCACGATCAAACTCGGGATCATGAACCAGATCCTCCATGTCTTCCCAGAGTTTACGCTGATACTGAGTCATATAGGCCATGTAGCTAGCAGCTCGAGCTGCAATGGAGGCAGCATGGTAGAACCTACAACCCATGATCTCCATTTCTTTTGAGGTAGAATCTAGAGGAGATGTTGTATTTCCTCTTTTGCTGTGCTCCAGTGCTTCTACAATGGGGCCCTCAGCTGGTGGATTTGGTTGGAAAGGAGAGGTATCCTTGGCCACAGGATACACCCTGTGTCCCATGAAGGAAGAAGGATGGCAATCAGCAGGGTCCTTAAAAACTTCAGTGGTGGCAATTCTCAAAAGAGGATGCAAGGGAGGAACCAAGCGTTTTTTAGAGGTCACACAATCAGGTTTCCCTTCACAGGATTCTGCTTCAGATTGTAAGGTTACCCTCTTTATAACACCTCTTTGTTCCATTCTCTTCAGAAGACCTGTGAAACTGGATTGGGTGGGGTCAGTTGGCTGCCCTTTGTCATCTGCTGATGGGGATTTGCAATCAGTTTCTTCTTCAACTGTGGATAAATTTTCTTCCTTAGAGGTGGAGATGTCCCAAGGAACTGAGGAATTCTCACTTGGCCTAGAATGATGAAATCTAAAACAGCTCCGGGACTGCAGATCACGTATCACTCTGGACATCTCAGCTACTTGTGTCTGGAGATAGAGGATGGCATCCTGTCCATGTTGTGAAGCTGAAGAAGATTCTAAAGGTAAATCTTCTTTGTCCTCAGAAGAGGCCAAAGACTCTTGGGAGACCAGAGGTGGAGATGAAGGCAGAGTCTGATAATTTTGTGATGATTTAAGTGCCTCTGTCTCAGAGATCTTAATATCTGAATGATTTTGATCATTTTTCTGTTTCTCCAATGGGTTCTCAACAGCAGAAGGTTGAGAAACTGTCCTTTGTGGACTGTTGGCACAACTCCCAGAGGAGGAGCTGCTGTCTCCAATGGGAAGAAGAACATTGCAGCTAGAGCACATTTCTGGGCGATGATTCTCAGAGGATGGCACCTTAGATTCAGGCATTCTCTGGGTTATCCACATGAACAAAAAACCAAGGAAGAAAAAAAATATGCTTTTAATATGTTAACTTTCAAGTGCAGAGATGCATGTCCAGTAAGTAGAATCAATTTTTAAATTATTATAAATAAAAATGAAAGACATATCCACTACAGGTCAGTAAAGAGGTAACAGAAGTCAAATCCACAAGCTTCACTACCCCAAGCCCCAATATGAACTTTGGGCATTAATATGGAGCTCTGGCTATTAAAAAGCAGAAGGTAAACATATGCTAAATTCAAAGTGGTGCTACCCTGGCTTGTTGCTTGGTCCTGTGTTGATAGAATGATGAGACCAGGTAACAACAATTAATAAAAGAAAAACCCCACTGAACATATATAAGTCAGTAAGTGTGAGCTAATGATGGCAGAGAAAACTTGAGGAATGTCTCACCAAGAAGAAAAAAGTTGTTCTAAAACTCCCTTATTAGTCATTTTTAAGCCCCTTTAAAAATTTTTGGGGGCTGGGGATGTGGCTCAAGCGGTAGCGCGCTCGCCTGGCATGCGTGCGGCCCAGGTTCGATCCTCAGCACCACATACAAACGAAGATGTTGTGTCCGCCAAAAACTAAAAATAAATATTAAAATTTAAAAAAAAAAAAATTTTTGGTCATTCACTTTCCATGAATTTTCAAAACTTTCCAGTTGTATATTCCTACTTCATGGTTTCTAGTTTGAAGGAGCTTACATAGTTGTTACCTTATTTCTTCCTCACAACAACCCTGTGAGGTAGGTACTATTTTCATCTAATTAAAAAACAAACACAACTGAGGCTAAAAGGTTTCTTAATTGATACAAACTCACAGAATTAGTAAGGAGTAAAGCTGGCTCTCAAACTCAGGTATTTTGATTCCAAATCCAAGTCTCAACCCCCTTTATCACAGAGCAAGAAGCTTTCTGGCCACTATGAGCAAGTGTTAGGAGTTCTCTAATCCATCAAGAAACAGCCCATTAATAAAATTTTGGGCTAAGGCAAAGTCAAATCAAAGGCAAGACTATGACAAAGGAATTCAATTAATTTAATTTTCAGAGTAAGAAAGTACTGATTTAATGATCAAACCCACAACTAGCAAGTCAGTTAGGATGAATAATTTCAAATACATGGGGGAAAGAGGAGGTTAAAAGGGATGTAGACTAAAGTTATACACGAACTATAAACCCCTTCCCACATTATTTCCTAAAGGATCTTCGGATATCCTTTCTTATGAGATAAAACAAGTTTTCTGTGGCCACAGTTTTGGAAGAAAGGGATCCAGTTCTACAGGGCACCAGAGGAAAGCACAGAAAAGAAAAAAGGCAAGAGGAGCCACAAAACCACAGCTGTTATTATATTTTCCTTTTATTATATATCATTTCCAGGGCTTAGAACTTCCTAGAACCATTTTAACTTTTCACATCCTCAGTGAGATAACGGAACAAAATTGGAGTAGGAGATGTTCTTAACAAAAGACTTCTAGACTACCTATTAAGGCCCATTTTAACAGAAATGGGCCATTCTCTAAGGCACAATAGTTCCTAAACACAGCCATCACTGATTTTAAAAAATGCAAATCAAATGTAATATACTTACATCACTATGAGAGGTGCTAGGTTCTTCATCATCACTGCTGACCAGATCAATGTATTCAAGAACAGGTCTTAATGGTCCTTCCTATAAAAGAATTGAGTAAATTTACCAGTCATGAACAGTTACTTAAACCAAAATAGCATTTTAAACAATGACTTTTTTATTATTGTTTTTACTTTTTCAGTTGGGATTGGCTCTGAAGAGGAAGCCTTGTGGGTAGCAGAAATAACTAGAACAAAAGAAACAGGAAAATATTCAGTGTGTGTAAATAAAAAATGATGATAGGACTTAAAAAAAGAGCCTAAACTCCTACAGAGTATTAAGGCCATAAAAATTGCTTGTAAAAAGGAAAATAAATACAAGAATAGTGCAAAAAAGACACAAACACTGCAATCCAATGTTTCTTAGTTGGGATGGGTATCAACAGTCCGTTAAGATATCCAAGCTCAAGGAATGGTGATATAGCTCAGTGGTAAAGCACCTGCCTTACATTTGCAAGGCCCTGTCAATCCTCAGCACCACACAAGAAAAAAAAAAAAAAAAAAAGACAGTCGAAATATGGAGATATCTTTGACCAACAGCTTAGTTTCATCTCCCAATCCAACAGATTTAAACATCAAACCCAGATTCTTTCCATTCATGCTGACATTTTCATAGACCAGGCTTTGAATGTCAAGCTTAAAAACCTATGTTCTATTCTATAGGGAAAAGAGCAAAATACTTATGAGCTGTGCTTCAGGAAGATTAATCTCATAGAATAGTAGGAATCACAGGCAAAGCCAAATAGATAACAGAGAGCTACAGGTACATAATAATACAGAACAGTGGTGATGGTAAGAAATGATGGAACAGATATAGAAGAGACTATGAGTAACACGGGGGCGGGGGAGAAGAGGACTGGCTATTAAATACAAAATAAAACCAAAGAGTCAAAGAGGTTTTAAGCTCCAGTGGCCAGAATACTAATGCCATTAATATAAATCCACAATGCATGAACAGAAAGCTGATGGGTTTTTTTTTTAGACATATTGACTGAAATACCAGTGGTACACAGAGGTATCTGGCAGACAGCTGCAAATGCAGGCTTATAACCTGGGATATGAACATACCTGCAAATAAGATATTTGGAAGCTGCTCCCCTAAAATACTACTAAACTCTAGAACTAAATTGAAACTGTGATATTGCTTCAATGAATAATAATCAATGCTAAACGTGGCCAGAAACATTAAGTTCCAAGAAGATATCACTAAATTTGGCAACAGTACATTTTTAAATGTCTTTCAGATAGCAATGCTAAATAAAATAATGAGCACAGAAACCAGAGAGAATGTAGAAAAAGTAAGAAGAGAATGAGGTAGAAAGGATCATTAGTAAAGATTATTCTTTCAAGAAATTTAGGAAGAAGGAACAAAAAAAGGAACATGGGAGAAAAATATGGCTGAGAGAAAAAGATTTCTTAAAATGGAGACAGCTGCTGACTAGATATCTAGTTAATGATTCTTTTTTTTTTTCCCCCCTAAAAGCAGCAAGATGGCTTTTTTCTTCCTAGGCTATGAGTTCTGCCCAACTGGAAAACTGCTAACCTTTTGGGCAGTGATCCAGACACTAAGAGAAAATCAATGGGCAAAACTTCTAGGCAGGGAACTGCAATTAAGAATGAGAATTTTTGCTCAAAGTTGTAAAGATGAAAAAGAGAAAGAGAAGTAAAAGAAAAAGGAAAGGAAAGGCAAGGAGAACAGAAGAAAAGAAAAGGAGAACAGATATTCTCAAATATATGGTCAATAAAGCTACATTACCTGTCTTAAGACTAAAACCTATTTGGCATGAACATACTTTATACACAGAGTTACGAAAAATTGTGCTGTGAATGGATAATTATGATTGTAATGCATTCCACTATTGTCATGTATGTAAGAAATAAAAATTTTTTAAAAAGTCTAAAACCTAACCCTGATATTAAGTCAAAATCATATTTTCAACTCAAGAAAGAAGCAGGAGATAAAATGTAACACTTTTCCCATTCACATCATTTCCTCTCAAGAAATGTGATTTAGGACCTTCCATTAGAGTAAATAGTAAAGAAGAAAGTCCCCAAGTAGCCAGAAATACAGAGGCAAGGGCAGAATTTCCATGAACAGAAAGTAGATAAAGAAAAAAGGGAGACAAAAGGTAATAAGACATAAGGCAAAGTCAAAGAGGCAAGAAAAAAATGTAATAAGGGAAAAAAATGGTCACAAATCAGACCAAAAAGTAGCTACAAGGGGCTCGGGGTGTAACTCTTATAAGAGTGTTTGCCTAGCACATGCAAGGCCATGAGTTCAATCCTCAATATCACAAAACAGCCTCAACAACAAAACATACTTTTAAAAATGCAGAAATAGAAGAAAGACCAAGAGTAGGGACAGTGAGACCACTATCAGAAATTTACTAGAATGAACCATTTTCAAAGTATAAAAGACAATTCCATACAATTCATAGTAATTAAGACAGAAAAATAAAAGTATCGAAATTTTAAAAAATCAAAATTGTGAATTAGAATATCCATTCACTCAACAAATAATTACTGATTTACAAATGTAGAATGAGAAAGGAAACACAAACAATGCACAGGCTAAATGAAAAAGGAAAGACAAGTTTATACATAGATACATTATCCTCTAGTTAATTTTCACTATAAATTCACAAAACTTCCACCATAAACTTATCAAATATTCAGTCCTCCGTTTATTTTACTACTAAATAACATTTACTAAGCCCTGTATCAAGCACTGTAATAAACTTCATGCACATTATCTTATCCCAATCCTCTCAACCGCTTTAAAAGTGAGATTCTGAATTATCCCATTTAAAAGAGGATAAAACTTATTGAGGTACACATGGTTATCTAAACGCATAACTGGTTCTGTGTTCACTATAATTCTGAGACATTTGAAAGTATAATCCTATTTTTAAACCAATGATTATTACTTGTTTCCAAGACAACATATTTTCTTTTCCTTCAATAAGAAAAAAAGGACTACCTGCTATTGCCCCCATTTTTGAATATTATAACACTGACCAAACGTAAACTACTAATAATACCCAAAAAGTAATGCCTATAATGCAAATACCAAGGAAAAAACATCTCTATATTTATGATTTTATCCTTAGCAACTCCAGCTATTTTTTATTTGAATTTATGCTATTAACTAATAAATCATCCTCATACCCTCTGATACCAATAAGGATTCAACTTCTAATGCCATACAAGTTAGCAGTAGAGGCACATGTACAAGCATGACAAAACATTTGAGGAACACAGTTTAACTAACATTGTAATTTTTAAAACTTTACTTTTAACAAAAAAAAAAAAAAAAAAAAAGTTTTCATTCCTGTAATTAGAAAACTTGATTCTCAGAGTGCAAACACCAATTTTCTACTTGGAAAGAGAGATTAATACATTAAAATATGGCCTACAGAAAAACTAGTTTAATTCAAACAAAGAATTCTCTAAAACAAGGACTATGATTTAAGTGTAAAAGTAAAAACCTAACCTAAAACCCTAAATAATGTGTTGTTGTTAATTCCATATAGGAAAGTAGGGGCTTATTTTACTTCCACAGCCCTACCCAGTTCAAGATTTCAAATGGCTCCCAGTTGTCTACTTTATAATTTAAATTTGGTCCAGCACTCAAGTTCTGTATCATTGGCCCCACTTTAAAAACAAAAATATTTCATCCTCCAAGCACACATAATCCTGTTTACCCACTTTCCAAATTGCCCTTTTAAATGTATACAAATAACCATTAAATATACAATAAACTACCACCTATGCTACAGTGACAAACTGTAAAATCTTTTAAAAATCATTTTTAAAGCACTAAGTACTCTTTATAAAACATCTTTCTACTATCACTTTGAGTTATTTACTTAATTCTCCTATCTCATCATCTCCACTAAAATATTGATATTTAAGGGTAGAATATATTTCCAATTAATCTATTTAGGTCTAAGGTACTTCACTCACAGCTTTGCACTATGAACTGCAACACTACTTTTGTTTAATAAGTGAATTACAATGCAAGAAATCAGCAAAAGATAACCTCACTTTTTGCAAAAATCCCTTGTATTAGTATTTACTTTTAACTACAGGCCCCTCAAGTTATTTATGAAATTCTGTCTTGACATTATTGATTATTCCCACATTTTCAATGAGCCTATATAAATCAATAATCCTGACTAAAACTGACATCTTCTGTGCTGTTATGAAACTTACAATAGGTTCCCTCAGCAATTTTTATACCTTTATATTTATAGTGGCAAAAGAAACAACAGCTATTAGCTGAACAGTTTTTTTGGAAGCAAATCAGAAAAGACCTACTGTTTCAAAGAAAGACACAAAGTTGGTGGTTGAATAAAAGAAGCATTATTACTACACAGAAAATGCAAGTAACAGATCTAAATGAAAAAATTTTGTTAGAATACCATTCTTCATTTGGGGACTGTTCAAACGGGTATATTGGCCTTGTAAAAATCAATCAAATAAGTACACTTACTGAACTGGGAACATCTCAATGTATTTCAACACAATTTAAATGAATGGGCTCATTTTCATATCCCCACATCTGTATCATTCCTTTCCTTCAGGTATATTGTATTTGGCTTCAGGTTCAGTATTTTGCAAACCACAGAAAGTCTGCTGTGCCACCTTGTAAATTCAAGGTGGGAAAATTAGATTTGAACGAGGCTAAGAAATCCAAACCAGAGTATCAAGAAATGATCACATAATGCACTTTTTGCTATCTTAAGAACTCAAGCAGGTAACTATTTTTCATCATTGCTGGATTAAACATTACATGGAGGACTCAAGTGTATAACTGGGTTACAGAAAAAAGTACAAGATTCTGCCTCTGAATTTTAATTATTAAGGTATGGTTGTCATTTAAGCATTACCACTTAAACACAAAGAAATGTATTTTAATAGGTTCCTTCTAGTATTCTAACCACACTTAAAACATGTAATTCATTTTCCATTTAGGGCAGTCAAATCACTGAATCTTTATCTGGAGAAAGAGAGAGAGAGTATCAAGTTCAATATACTGTACATTCTTTATTCTTCCTGCAAAGATATTAGTAACTTTCTATTTTAAAATAAAATTTAAACTAAAAGACTACGTTTAAGCTAAACAAAACCCTATAATAACTAGTTACAAGCTATAATGCAACTCTTCATTCACAGGGTCCAAAAAAAAATTTATTCTTTGAATCTTATTTTTATATGTCTGTTTTTCAAAACTTCAGAGTATTATTCCTAATTTTATTTGCATGAGACATCAAAGTAAATAGTTTGTTCACAAATATACAGATTCCAAAAAAATGGAAATGTGTGTCCTAAGAACCCATAAAATCCTATTATCGAACTTACTTCAGCCAGGCGAATTACTACATACCAGTAATCCCAGCAACTCTGGAGACTGAGGCAGAAGGATCACAAGTTCAAGGCCAGGCTCACCAATTTAGCAAGGCTCTAAATAACTTAGCAAGACCCTGACTCCATAAAAAAAAGGAGGATGGAGTGGGATGTAGCTCAATGGTAAAGTACCCCTAGGTTCAATCCTCAGCACCAAAAAACAAAACATACTTCAGCCCATGCTTAGAGTGCCCAAGCCCTAGGTTCCATCTCCAGCATCCTGCCCCAACAAAAAATACTTCAGTACAGAGTGAAGAAAGTAGCAGGATATAATGCACTCACCCCAAATTCTTAAAGTTCTAGACAAAAATGATATAGTACAATGGGCACTGGCAATGGGGAACAAAGTCAAGAAAACAATCTTGGAAAGGAGTCCCTTCACAACAAATATTAAAACACCATACAACAACAGTTCACTACAATGGCCCAATGTTGGGGAAAATATTGTTCAATAACCACTTTTATATAGTTGGCCAACAACATCCACAAATACACAACAGATGTACAAAGAAAAATTATAAAAACTACAACTATTTCATTCCAAAAGAGAGTATGGGGAAGGATTCTCTATAGCTTTAAGCAGAGTCACTGTAAAAACTTAACAGCTACAGATAAAAATCACCCAAAATACACCACATGCTGTTTTTCCCACATCAAAGCTTTATTGTGTTCAGAGAGCCAAATGTCCTGAACTTGTTCAAAAATGGAGATTCCTAAGCCCGACTTTGAATTTCTTTCTGACTCAGTAAATCTGGAGTTGGGCTCAAGAATTTGAAAGTTTCTACTTCCTAACACTTGAAAACTACTGCCTGTGGCAAAGGACAAAAACAGAAAAGATAGCATGCTCCTGGTGATGCAGGATTCATTATGTGCAATTGTTGCACTATGCTGTAACATGATGATCTCAGAGGTTAGTGAAGTCCTCAAGCTGAGTTCCTACACACCTTGTTTTCCACCTCTCTGCCATTAGCCCTCCCTCCTAGTCCTGTGTGTCACCTTTGAGAAGGCATTCTTGCCCCCATTTAAAATCACACAGTCTGTAAGTTTACAGAGACCAGAATTTTGTCTAGAGTAATCATAAAATGGATCCAAATGAGGGCATCGGAGGCCTCAATAAGAGCCCAATACGTTCAATAGGCCATGCTCTTTGTGATGGTTATTGTGGTGGCTCAGATACCTTTCCTGGTAAGCTCCTTATCCTACACCATATCCCAAGTGTCCACCACCCAGAAGACATCCTTACTATTCGTTGAATGAAAAGCCCGATTATCAGTAGCTACTTACACTAACAAACTGAATGTCATCTTCGTTTTCATCCGTTGTTGATTCAGATGCCTCAGGCCCAGCTGGAGGGGCAGATTCTATTATCTACAAAAATAAGCCAAAACATGCTTATCTATTCAGCCACACACTTGTAGGGAGAGATTTTTCCAAAAAGGACGATTGAGACAAAAGCTTGGACGGAAACTGAGCACAAACGCACGCAAACGCCACGAAGAACTGAGTCGAGGGAGCTCGGTTTTGCTAAGGCGTCGTGCAGCTGTAGTGAAAGGCTCTCGAAAAGGAGTGACCAGCGCTCAGAAGGTCCCCACCTACTCCAGGAGCAGGGATGCAAGCTCGCTACCCAAGGGCAATCCTGACTTCAGCCGTCGCTGGGCTCCCGGGGCAGAGCGGCGGCAGCAGGAACTCGGGGCCAGTTCAGGGGCCGGGGGCGGCGGGCGGCCATTGTTGCCGCAGGTTCCCGGCGCACGCAAGCAGCAGGCCCGAAGGCCCCGCTCCGCCCTAGATGCTGAGGCGCAGCGCCCCGAGGCTGCGGCCGAGCACAGGCCTCAACCCACCAATCTCGAAACCCTCCGCGGTTCGGCTCCCAGAACGCAAAGGCCCAAGGCTCTGCTACTCACCTCCGACCCTGGGTCTCCCATTTCTCCAACGGCTTGACAGCACCACCACTACTGCTGTCCCCGCCGCCGCCGCTGCAGCAGCCGCTGCTGTCCCCGCTGCCGCCTCCGCCACGACTTCCCTTCCCGCCCTGCACCACCCTGACCCGCCCCTGCGTGAGCGCTGACGCAGCTGACGCCGCAGGCAGCATGAGACGCAAACCACTAGGAAAAGAGCAGCGGTCCTCACAGGCCCGCTATACCCCGGAGCCTCTTTAGTACACTCCCGGCCTGCCCTCCCCGCACCGCACAGGATGGTGGGAATTGTAGTTCCCATTGGCCTTGAAACTGCTCCCCCACCACTTGGGTGGAAAAGAGCTAACAAGGAGCCCTCAATGCCGCGCATGCGCTCCACCTAGCAGACATCAGCCGTAGCTGGGCAAAGCCCTGGGCAAAACTGGATTCTGTTGGATGAAGTGCAGGAAGATCGCGTAGGATGTGGAGGAGGTTCTCCACTTGGTTGTAAACGTGAAAAGTCTGGCTCCCATAGGCTAAGACAATAACTCACAGGAATGGGAGAAGAAAGCTTTATTGGCAATGAACTGGCAGGTGGAAAAGGGAGAGGCCTTTCACCCACATTCCATTTAGTGGTCATACGTGCAAATGCAGGGAGTCCAGTTTTACCCACAGCCAAGTGGACACTGAAATGGTCTTTTAATTCGTGGAGTAATCAATGGGGAGGTAATTTTGGTGGTAGTGGGGGTTTTGTTGTTATTGTTTGGTTGGTTTTGTACTGGGGATCTAACTTCAGGGCAATTTACACTGAACCAAATCACCAGCCCTTTTTATTTATTTATTTTTTTGAGATGCTGGGGATTGAACTCAGGGCCTTGTGCATACAAAGCAAGCACTGTACCAACTGAGCATATCCCCAGCCCCTTATTTTTTTGTTTTGAGACAGAATCTACTTTGCTTAGGCTGGCCTCAAACTTGTGATCCTCCTGCCTCAGCCTCCTGAATCGCTGGGCTTACAGGCTTGCGCCACCACGTGCCCTGCTGAGTAATCAATTCTTTTTACATGGTTTGGATGTTGTCCACAGGTCACCAAGAGTTTCTGGTTCCTGTATAGCTAAAGGAAGATTACTGACGACCTAAAGAAAGGTTGCTGATTGGGAGGACCACTATTGTTCTTTGATGTTTCCCCCTCATTATTATTTTCTGGCAAAGCTCATTTACTGGTTAATATTTGAGGAATGATGCAAACAGACTTGCTAGTGCTAGGGACAAAAGTTTTAATGGTTGTGAAAGAGAAGCTCACTGATAATTTTATGTTTTAGCCCTAGAGGCAAGGAGGTAGAAAATAATATCTCTGTTTTCTTATTCTCGGCCCTGGCCCTGTCTCTGCCTCTTTCTCATTGAGGAGGTGGTGGGGGGTCTGTTTAGGTGAAGAATTGAATGTGAAGTGCCCTTATTAAAATCTCCTCCTGTATGTTACTCAGATTTCTATCTCTGTGACAAAATACCTAAGATAAACAATTTAAAGCAAGAAAGGTTTATTTTGGTTCACAGTTTCAGAGGTTTTTCAGTCCATCAGTCAACTTGGCTTAATTGTTTCTGAACTTGTGATGAGAAAGAACATCATAGTTAGGAGTGCCTAGTGGAAGAAAGCTGGCTCACCACAAGGCAAACAAGAACCAGAGAGAAGAGACAAGAGGACAGATGTAGCCTTCCCCAGCATTCCTCCAGGATCCATCGCCTCCAAATAGGCTTTACTTCCTTTACTTTATGAACTCACTGATGGATTAAGCCACTGATGAGGGTAGAATGGTCACTATCCAATCACCTTCCAAAGGCTGTGCCTCTGAACAGTGCTGCCTGGTGGACCAAGCCTTTAACATGTGAGCTTTGGGTTTGGATTTAAAATCCAAAGCATAACAGCTTCAGTCTTGCAGCCCTAGCAAGTGCTAACACTGAAGCCAGAATTAGACAGGCAGTCAGTATAGATAGGTAAATCAGGTCAGGTCAGCTTTAGGAGGCCAATTTGAGTGATCCTGTGAAGTTGGAGACTGCTCTCTGAGGGACTGAACAGCCTTCAAAGCCCTTCCTCCACCCTAGCAAGATAACCTGCCCCAGCTCCAAACTGTTGCTAAGTTAACCTGTTCCAGGAATTGCTCTTCCCTACATGGAGTTATAAAATTGTTAATTCATGTGTCCTGGGCTGCTTCATCCATGACCCCCTCCTCCAACCGCTTCTCACCTTTTGGCCATCCCATTGAGCGCCTCCTGGACCTCGTCACAGGAAAGAGAGAGATAAGGGGAAGAGAGCAGAACAAAGAAAGCCTAGGACATAAAAAACAGGCAGAACACCTCAAATCTGGGGATACCAGCTATGGCCCTCTTCTCCCTCCCAGGAGAAGACTATGTTACCCCTTTTCCCTGTTGTATATGTTTGCCTCTGCATGTTTCTCTAATGTTATACTTCAACATGTGAGGAAGCAGAACTAACTCAAGGAGATATCAACACAACTGAGGAAGAAAACTCAGTGAAGAAAATGGGTGAAGTGAAGAATCCAGGATCAATTAGAAAAGGCAGCCAAAGTCTAGCTAGCTTTATCACTAATCCCTAGACTTATAATTTTAAAATGTACTTTTTCAAAATATTCTCAGGATACCCAACTAAAATAAAATTTAACCTTTTTTTTCAGTTTACACTCATATACCGGTCTACAAAATAGATCAAATTCAACTGTTTTCATTTTTTTATCAGATAATGCCTTATTTTTTTAAAGTTTTTTTAACACATAAACAGTGGTCAATAAGGTTTTTAAAAAGAATGTAAGTGAGAAAATTAAGTCTTAAGTGCCTATTTTTCTCTGTTTATATACAAAACTATCAACTGATTGCTTATGACTGTAGTAATAGGTTTTTAAAAAAATTTTTTAGTTGTTTATTTTTATTTATATATGGTGCTGAGAATCAAACCCAGTGCCTCACATATGCTAGGCAAGAGCTCCACCACTGAGCTACAACCCCAGCCTCAGTAATTGTTTTTTTAATATTTGATATTTCCTGAATCTCCATTAAGTGCTTTATGATATCAGTTGCTTTTCTACCAAGTAAATTTGAAAATTGCCTGTAAATTGTACAGGCCGATTGAGAGCTGGCAACTTGAACTGTGAGTTCTTCAAAAGTTGTACATTTATTATTATGCCAGGGATTGAACCCAGGGGTATTTAACTACTGAGTCACATTCCCAGCCATTTTGGGGGGGAGCAGGGGATTGAACCCAGGGTCTTGTACATTCGAGGCAAGCACTCTACCAACTGATCTATATCCCCAGCCCCTCAAAAGTTGTACATTTAAACTGAATATCACTAAAACTTTTAAATGTGTACGCAAAACTTTTAAAAGATTGTCCTAATGAGAGTTCAGTAAAATATTTAATTGGTTGCATGTAGGAGTTAAATTGGTAAAACCCTTCAAAACCAGTCAGTCTATGGATAGAGCCAAAGAAAAAAATTAATACTATTCAATTCAATAATTGTAGTTAAGGAATTTATGGTTTGTTTATAATAGCAAAAATATCAGAATGTCTAATAACTGGGGAATGGAATGGTTAAATTTTTATACATAATCACTATATAGACTTTTATTGCCATTGTATATGTTTACCTAAAATTTCTGAAAGCTTATTTTTGAAAAATGTAAGCTATATGTATGATTGAAAGCATGTCAAACTACCAAGCAAACTATGTCTGAAATGATCTGTACTAGCAACCTTATGTTGATATTCTTCCTTCAACGCATTATGTATCAAGAATTCTAGAGCTTCAACATTAGTTTTCATCATTTCTCCATTGACTTTTTTGCTGTTTTTATTGAACAATTACATAGTGAAACATGTCTGAACAATAGTTGCTCAGTAGCATTTAAAATTCTGAAAAACAGTTTCTTGACTGAGGATATGCCACCAAGAGGAACATTAAATAAATCAATGAATTTAAAACTCCCATTAAGAACAATTATCTGATAAATCTCAGAAAAAAAAAGGAAAATTTCAGGATTGACATCCAACTGACTAGCATGAACCTCTAGTTTATTTAAGGAATAATTAATTTGGGCAGAAGAGTTTATTTATACACAGCTCCAAATTTTGTTATGCTTTAGTAAAATACAATCACTTTCAATGTAATTATTTTATTAAGAAGCACATTTCAAGGGGCTGGGGAAGTATCCCAATGGTAGAATGCTTGCCTAGCATGCAGGAGGCCCTGGGTTCAATCCCAATACTGAAAAAAAAAAATTAAACTCACATTTGGTTTGGATTTAAATGCTTTCATTTAAAGATCTTACAATTCAAATTGTCTCATTAACAATTCCTGAGAAAGTAAGAAATGGATTTAGAGGCATTCATTCCAAAACAAAATATTCTTGAAGGAATAAAATAACTCAGGCGTCAGGTGTCTTTGGTATTGCTTGGGAGTTATATGAGCAGAATTTAAAGAGCAATTGGTTTTGAAAGAGTATAAAGAATTAGTCCACAAGTCTATCATGCAATGTCTCTGCTTCTTTCAGGTCTGGAATTCTGCACAAGTTACGCACATAAGGAAAAAGGCCATTTGGAGCACAGCACAAAAGACGGCGGCTCATTTCTATGGTCAATTCATAAATACAAGCTGCTTGTTTCATTAGAGCAAGCTGTCATACATACGTATGGGCATTTTCCCTTTCAAACAAAATGCATTTGTACTTAAACAGATGAGAGTAGTTTTGTTATTAAACATTGTGAAAATTTTGCAATACCTCTCATCTCCTTTTTTTTGAAATATTTGGAGGATGACATGACAGTTCACCCTATTCAGATCATTGAATACTATTCCTCCGTGTCAGACCACTGAACAAAACTTCAACTTGTGGTGGATCACTAGGGTTTTTAAAACACCATTGATAACCAAAAGTATTAGAACTATTTATATTCAATAAAGGAAGTGGTTTGTAGCAAAGTGTAAGGGTAGGCATAATTGTAAGAATCTTGTTGGAAGGCAGTATCTATTAAATTCAGTCTAACTTTGTTTACAATAATCTATAATGTTAAAATAGTTGTCAAAAATCC